TCTTATGATAGAGTTTTACCCCAAAAGTTTTTTATTAAAATAAATTCGATAAAAATCAAAAAAATCCAATTTAAATCAAAAAAATCTGATTTTTTTTTGATTTTTTTAAAAAAATCATTGATTTTTATCCACCCTGATTTATATTACAACATTCATGTCATCGTCCTAAGTCGCTCCAATAATAATACATCTTTACCTTATGTTTTATAGAATTCTAGAATTCTTGTATTAGAAAGATCCCGACCATATTTCATTTCCATATTTTTTTTTTATCTACCCATTGATACAATAGGTCCCATATCTTATAATATTGTTAACTAGTCAAACTTGAGTTCCCGCCACCTACCACTCTCCGCCCCAAAACTAACCAAGAGAAACCAAGTTCAGCACAACGCCGAGCGAAGGAAGGGATCTACTCTCTCGGGGGAGACGGATCTACTCGCTCCCAGGGGGGTCTGAGCTCCAAAACGACCCCCTCGCTCTATTCAGAGGGGGGACCCCCGCAGAAGAAACGAGGGCAAAAAGACTTGGCAGCTCCGGAAAAGCTGCCAGCAGCCCTCCAGGCTGGGTTTTCCCACAGCTCAGCTTTGTGACTTCGTGGCTCGGCGTATATTGCACAAGCGCAGCCGAGTTTCAAGAAACTCCTGAGGCTTCGCGGGTTGTCTGAACACGCCCCGCAGGTACCAAACGCGCCCGTACACGCAGACGTGCACACACACACACGCGTACCCAGGCTTCCCCTTCTTTGCCCTGGCCGGTGCCCAACCACCCAGGTGCGCGCACAATAGAACAAGGCTCTCTTGCCGGTCAGGAGGGACCAAGGCCAAGGCACCAGCTTACCCCGCTCTTTGCCTTTCTCGACGGCTTCCTCTTGGCTCGCTTTCCGCGCCCTGCTCGGCCCGGCCATATGTTTCCAAGCCGGCGAACTTTCGGCGCAAACCCATTAAATCCCCAACTTTTGAGTTGGCTCAAAGTTGGGGAAAGTGCAAAGAGCGCGCGCGCGCGTTACCTGGCCAGGTGGGCTCCTCTCCCTTTCTGCAAGGCTCAGCAGCCGCAGGCAAGCGAGGCGGGAGCAGGCGAGGCGAGGCGACTGACTGAGCTCTTTCCTCCGGAGAAATAGGTTCTTAGAAGCGCCCTTGGCGTCCGCCCTGCCGGGCAGCCTTTTCTCAACTAGGCGCCTGCGAGGCAGGCTCAGCAGGGAGACCCAGCAGCTGAATCAACCGCAGGAGGAGGAGGAGGGAAAAAACCGCCCAGCGCAGCCGCCGGGAAACCAGGCCTGGAGTCCTAAGCAGCTGGCTGGGCGGAACTGGAACGGAGTCGTCGAAGGCGCTCGTCTCGGGAAAGGGTGCTTTTTATTCAAGAGGCAACTGGGCTTTCTGGGGTTTTTTTTAACAGTAACAGAGTTGGAAGGGATCTTGGAGGTCATCTAGCCCAACCCCCTGCTCACGCAGGACACCTGTACTAGGGATTCGAACCGGTGACCTTTCTGATCGGCAAGCTCAGGGTCTTAGCCACTGAGCCACCCAGTCAGACTTCTCTTTGGATTTTAAGGGTACCGACATTGGGAGCCTAGCATAACCTGTGGCCCCCTGCACTTTTAATAGGCCACTCAGGTGCAGGAGAAGAAAAGGATTAAGGGTTAGAGCTGGCTAACTTTATGTTTAAGATTCGAACCAGCGACCTTTCTGATCAACAAGCTCAGTGTTTTAGCCACTGAGTCACCTAGAAGACTGAGCCACCTAGGGTGGTGGTGGTGGTAATGTTGGGGCGCCTTTTCGCACCACTGGCTCTCCCCCCCCCCCGTCCTCAAACAGCACGTGGGCTGGAATTTGCACAAGGTTCCCCAGCCCCAAACCACCGCCAGACAATATTAAATTAAATCAAAAGGTAATGCATATTAAAAAGCAGAGACGTCACCCTGCCAACAAAAGTGCGTATAGTCAAGGCTATGGTTTTCCCAGTTGCGATGTATGGCTGTGAAAGTTGGACCATAAGGAAGGCTGAGCGCCAAAGAATTGAGCCCTTTGAACTCTGGTGCTGGAGAAGACTCCTGCGAGTCCCTTGGACTGCAAGGCGATCCAACCGGTCAGTCCTAGAGGAGATCAACCCTGACTGCTCTTTAGAAGGCCAGATCCTGAAGATGAAACTCAAATACTTTGGCCACCTAATGAGAAGGAAGGACTCACTGGAGAAGAGCCTAATGCTGGGAACGATTGGGGGCAAAAGAAGGGAACGACAGAGAACGAGGGGGCTGGATGGAGTCACTGAAGCAGTCGGTGGGAGCTTAAATGGACTCCAGAGGATGGTAGAGGACAGGAAGACCTGGAGGAACGTTGTCCATGGGGTCGCGATGGGTCGGACCCGACTTCGCAACTAACAACAAATGCAGATGCTGGGATTGGGTGCCCAAAATGATGACTCGTATTCAAGGGGGGCTTCAGGGGTCCCGGAGAACGGACTAAAGATACGAGGGATGCCAGTATTTCTTCTTCAAGGGGTCTCTGGGGAAAGCATACATTGTTCCCGAGGATGAAAGGAGAAAATAATGTTTTATTTTTAAGTTTTAGGTCTTCCCCCACCGCTTTCCTCTATTCTGGAAAAGCAGGGCAGTTTAGCTGGGAATAGTGGCTTCGGAACCACCCTGTAGTAGGTTGTAGGAAGTCAGAGTAGGACGCTGTGGTTGGGAAACTAGCTTTTCCTGTATGATCGATTGTTTTTTTCATTTAAAAAAGGAGTTAGTAAGGAAAACAGCCAAGTCTCTGGTGTACCATATATAAAATCATGTGGAAGTGGTAGCATGGCTTCACCACAAAAATCTAAGATCTCTGTTTCGAGGAGCAAGTTATTTTGTGCTTGGCTTGAAACGTATACAGCAGGGGTTGGTGACTATGGCCCCCTTTACAATAGTAAATTGTAATAGCACTTAGACATATATACCGCTTCACAGTGCTTTTACAGCCCTCTCTAAGCGGTTTACAGAGTCAGCCTATTGCCCCCAACAAACTGGGTCCTCATTTTACCCACCTCAGAAGGATGGAAGGCTGAGTCAACCTTGAGCCTGGTGAGATTTGAACTGCCGAACTGCAGCTGGCAGTCAGCTGAAATAGCCTGCAGTGCTGCACTTTAACCACTGTGCCACCTCAGCAAGGATTGGTGATAATAAAGTAACTTTTTCATCACTGTCGTAATTGCAAATGGTCACTATCCAAGGTAGTCACTAAACAAGGATTACCTATATCCTACTGTTCCTTGGGCATATAGGTGGTATTTTTATATAGTGGCTAGAGTTGTGATGGCAAACCTATGGCATGTCCCCCAGCACACACTGCCTTGCCTGTTTGTCTTTTGGGTTTCTGGCGCGAATGTGCGTACGATGATCAGCTGTCCTTTGCGCACGGAGCAGTGCCGAAAACCAGCATGTGCAATCCCTTTGCGCGCATGGCAGTGCCGAAAACCGGCCTGCACATATGTGCCAGCCTGCTGTTCGTCGGGCGTGCATGCGCACTAGAACCCAGTTCGGCTTTTCTGGAGTGTGGCCTCAACAAGCATGTGCGACGTTTCCATCACTGGCCTAGCTAGAGTCTCTGAGATTGAGTAGATAAGAACACTGCAAAAGTTCATCTTCATTGGCCTTGGTGTTTACGCTTTTCCCTAGCTGCAAGAGGCCATCTAAGAAGGCTCAGCCATCCTAAAGCACTCCCCTCCTCTTTCTCAAGGAAATTATCACTTTAAAAACAAAGCTATTTTATTTGAGCTCTCAGAGCTCACCTGGCCCATGTGATCAGATGTATCCACTTTGTCCTGATGAGCTATTAGGGACAGAATGCACTGTTAGGCCGCAGAGAACATGACAGCCAGTATGTCAGTTCGTTAAAATGTAGAATGTTTTTTTCCTAACTTGCTCAGAACTCATGGAGGAGGAGAGAAAAGGCAGCAGGGGTGGGCTTCAAAAATTTTAGCAAGGGGTTCTCTGCCCGGTTGCTGGGTGGGCGTGGCCTAGTCTGCCTCCTGCACCACTGCGGGGGTCGGGGTGTTTATGCCCTCCCCAGGCTCTGGAGGCTTTGTTCGAGCCTCTGGGAGGGTGAAAATGACCTCCCCAGGCTTTGGAGGCCGGAAACAGACCCATTTCCAGCCTTCCCGAACTTCTGGTAGGCCCGTTTTTCGCCCTCCCGGAGTCTCCGCGTGCACCCTGCACTTACCTGCATCCAAAATGGGCCGCGTGGGGACTCCTGGGAAGGGCGGGGAGGGGTGGGCAGAGCCAGCCAGGAGTGGGATTTGGAGGTTCTCCAAACTGCATAGAAACTTATCTAGAGGACCTCCCGAACCCCTGCGAACCTCCAGCAGCCCACCCCTGAAAGGGAGGAATTGAATATTTGCATGGCCTCTCAAATCTCCAATCTTGAGTACAGCTCAACCAGCATCTTGGGTTTGGAGAGCTGTTTAGGTAGGAAACTCTTTACTACAGAAGAGCCAGGGACAATGAGATGAAAACCTCTCGTTCAGAAGTTCTGCCTGTAAATGGATGTACACTCAATCAACCTGTTGTTCAATTCACTATGGATGGGTGGACTTTTTCACACCCTGTTATTCCTTCTTATGGGTCTTTTCTCTTTATGTTGGATCTTGGTTAGGCCAGTGTTTCTCAACTTCAGCCATTTGAAGATGTGTGGACTTCAATTCCCAGAAGCTGTGCTGCCTGGGGAATTCTGGGAGCTGAAATCCACATCTCTTCAAGTTGATGAGGTTGAGAAACACTGCATTAGACGAGGGGTCTCCAACCTTGGCAACTTTAAGACTTGTGAACTTCAACTCCCAGCAAAGCTGGCTGAGGAATTCTGGGAGTTGAAGTCCACAAGTCTTAAAAGTTGCCAAGGTTGGAGACCCCCTGGATTAGACAGTTCCTCAGAGATATAAACCCTTCAAGCAGAGGAGACCCCATCACCCAAGCTGGGTGGAAAAATTAAATTCAGGTAAACAGAAAGCAAAAAGATGTGTAAGAATCACTGGGTTAAAAATTGTTTTTACTATGACATTTTTTTTTCAATACAATAAAACATAATGTACCAGATGCTTGGCAGTCTTGGAAATTTTTTTTTTTAAATGTATCACGTGCTGAAGTCTAGAGCTGATGCTGGCCCACGTGTTATATTTTCCCAAGATTGCACACAATATGGTTGAGAAATTTTAATGTCTATTAATTCACCGGCTGCATGCCTACATTATGGCATCAAATGCCAGCTTGAGAGCCCGATCTATACTTGCACTTGAATTCTGCAACTGGGCCTTCGAATTGTGGCTGCTTATTGTATCAACCTGGACTCTGGACCTTATTAAACGTTCTTGCCCTTTGCACTTCCCAAAACAATAGCCAGTGTCAGCAGCCTTAAGATGTGTGGACTTCAACTCCCAGAATTCCCCGGCGAACCAGCTCATGCTACACCCATCAAAGTACATGCACATAGGAGCATCCTTTTAATGCTAAGTCTGTATCCTGTTGGTTTAATTCAGTGCAATTCATGGAATGAATTAAGCACAACAGATTTCTAACTTCATACACATTCCTTCTACTGTCATACATGCCAAGTCACTTATACTTTTGAATTAAGGCAGTGAGTGCTCACCTGTAGTTTACTTAACTCTGGTTTACTAAAATGCACACGCATACTAGTGGTGGGTTTCAAAAATTTTTACTACCGGTTCTGTGGGTGTGGCTTGGTGCGCGTGGCAGGGGAAGGATACTGTAAAATCTCCATTCCCACCCCAATCCAGGGGAAGGTTACTACAAAATCCCCATTTCCTCCCAATCAGCTGGGACTCGGGAGGCAGAGAATAGATGGGGGCGGGGCCAGTCAGAATTTTTACTACCGGTTCTCCGAACTACTCAAAATTTCCGCTACCAGTTCTCCAGAACTGGTCAGAACCTGCTGAAACCCACCTCTGATGCATACGCAATTGGGCGTGCTCGCACAATATATTCATATAAAATCACAGTCCATAGCTATAAAATCTCATTGGCTAGTTTGCATAGCCTGTAAGCTACAGGAAGGAAGTAAACCAGATCTCATCTTAGTATGTTCGTGAATCAAGCTAGTGAGTTTCACACAGGCCCTGCCGAACACATCAATATGTAGAAAGTCAAGCAGTTTGATCCCTATAATGACAAGTCAGATTCCTTTGGGATGCTCATGAGGAGGACTTGGTTCCAACCATCTCTCCTGCTGTTGATCCCTAGTCAGAGATCTACCATTTCTGAAGGATAAACTTTGCTCGTCTCTTCCTGCCTGCAAGGAAGACTGTCTTGCGTGGACTGTCCATATTTCCGATATCACATTAGTAAAGAAAAGTCATCTTTGCAGTTCTCCCAGGAATTGGAGATGAGGGAGTCAAGATTAGGGAGTCAAGATCTGCTTTTTCTTAATCTACTGCTATTCCACCTCTTCTATAAGAAGATCAGAATTATTGGCACACTATTGTTCTTTCTTCACATAATGTTCCATCTGTCTGCTAAGAACAGGATTTCTCAACCTGGACCACTAAGATGTATGATCTGCAGTTCTCAGAATTCTGGCAGCTGCTGTCCACACATCTTAAACTGGTCCAGGGTAAGAAACCCTGGTCTAGAGTGGCAAACCAAAGTCCCACTGTAACTAAGGAATTGGTTTCCCCAACAAGCCATGTTGATAAATGGTCTTGTTGGTATATAGAACAAGATAAAATTCTCTTAGTTAAGATGGACTGCAAGAATCCAGGACACCTATTCTTCTAGAAATCTAAATATTTGAACACATCAGGATTTTGACTTGCCTCTACTCCTCAAAAATACAAGACTGGCACTAAAAGAATGCAATCGTTTGTCCCCAGTTAGTCAAACCACCTAGAGAACTTCCTTGTGACTAGGAAAGGAAGTTCCTTGAATCTACACAGATCTTAATCTAGAAGTTCTTTAAAATTTAGTTTTTGATGGAAAGGACATCTCCAAGCCACAGGCTTTGTTTGAAAAAAAAAAAGATGCCATTGCAAAGAAAATGCAGAAAACTATCAGAGGTCATATGTCCACTGCTGAGATTTGTGTGATGCGGCGATCAGAATCCATTTCGTAACGATAGTGGTACTCCTCCATCAGGTTCTGGCAAGCATCCCGTAGACCATTCATCCAGGTCTTGATGCCCTCGCGATTCAGGTAAAGCACAAAGAGGAAGATGATGCCAATTATCCCCAGAACTATACCTAATGCAGCATATGAGGACTGAAGAACATTTTCACTATGTTGACTGTAGTGGCACTCCAGATCTGCCCCCACTAGTTCCACCAAGGTGGTGTTCTTCAGATCCTGGGGGAAAATGCAGGCTAGTTTTTCCACATCTACTACTTGTCGGCTTTGGTTCAGCCAGGTGACCAGTTCTTCAATGTCACAATTGCATACAAAAGGATTGTCTTTCAGAAAGAGGCTAAGGTGGGACTGCCTCTCCAGGGCAAACAGAGCTTCCCTCCTCAAAGTTTTGAAGGCATTTGAGGTCAAATCAAGGTACTTCAGGTGAAGTCCAGAAAAGGTAGAGTTCTTAATATCGATCAAGGAATTGTTCCTCAAGTCTAAGTACTCAAGTTTAGGGAGGCTGGATAACATTCCAAGGGGCAAGTAGATGATCTTGTTGCTGGTGAGTTCAAGCTTGGAGAGATTCTGGAAACCCCCTTGGACAAGGGCAGCTGCCACCGGGCGGATGGCAGAGAAGTTGTACAATGAGTGACTGAGATTCAGCTCCTGGATTGAATTGTTTCTAGCACTGAAAGCATCCGGGTGGATGGTGACTAAGTGGTTATAACTCAAGTCCAAGTAACGCAGGTTCTGGAGATCAGAGAAGGCGTGGGATTCCACAGCATTAATCCTGGAAGGTGAAAAGGGACAACACTGACATCATTCAAGAGTAACCTCATCTGAAATATATATTTAAACATTTCTTTAATCTTTTTATTGCTAGACCCCCTCATAAAGCCAGTCAACAGGAAGATGAAAGAACATTCCATAGAACTCAAAAGGGGATCTCTGGTATATCTAACTCAAAGGACCAGGCAGTGGCTAATAAAGAGAAAAATGCTGATTGACAGCTGATAACAAAGATGTAGTGCAGGCAGTTTTAATTGGTAGGATTTTACTGGGGGAAAAGTGCAGGCTGCTTAAATTTCTTTCTTTCCTCCTTGGGCTCATAAGCATCTGCAAGCCAGGAGGATTTTGAACAGCTCACATAAAGAAAGGAGTAAAGCCCATTTCTTTTAGCATAGTGACATTGACCAGAAGGAAATTATGAAACTGTCTAGATCAGGTTTTCCGATAACACGAGGTATGGAATTACGGTACAATCAGAGAATTTGCAAAGCACCATGAAAACGTAGAAAACTGATATTCATTCTCCCTTTCAGTTTCCTGCAGGACTGACAGACAGGAAACCTACATCAAAGGCCCAGGAATGGTGCCATGAGGATTATAACTGTATAGTTGGACTACATAAAAGTTGCACATTGGATCACAGAGAACTGAAAAACACCAAATTATAGGCTGCCCAGAAGGCTTGGCATACTTATTAAGTGTAAGCCTCATGCTCACAATTTATATCCATGTTTTTCCAAACTTGACAACTTTAAGATGTATGGACTTCAACTCTGAGAATTCCATAACCAGCATTTGGAAACAATACTTTAATCAAGATGCCTCGTGCACAGCACAGGCCTGCTGTAAAAACAGGACCCATCTCCAACATCATTTCCTTCCAATGTTGCAGTAGGTTGAAAATAATAAAAATGGAGGCCTCTGCATAGCATAATGGAAGCGTATCCATCCTGCCCTCATCCCTGTCAAAGATGAACTGGGGGATCAATAGTATCTTGGGTTGGCTTGAGGGAGCAACAAGGAACATCCTCACTATTTACCTTTTTGCCAACTGAGAATTGCCAAAGCAGCTGGGTTGTGTCTAGGCAAACTCCCTCTCCTAGCGATCATTCTGAGAAAGTGGCCACTGTATTTTGCAGTTAGTCCTCAACATAAGGTAAAGATAAAGGTTTCCCTCGCACATATGTGCTAGTCGTTCCTGACTCTAGGGGGCGGTGCTCATCTCTGTTTCAAAGCCGAAGAGCTTTGAAGCACTGTCCGAAGACGTCTCCGTGGTCATATGGCCGACATGACTAGACGCCAAAGGCGCACAAAAAGCTGTTACCTTCCCACTAAAAGTGGTCCCTATTTTTCTACTTGCATTTCTTACGTGTTTTCGAACTGCTAGGTTGGCAGAAGCTGGGACAAGTAACGGGAGCTCACCCTGTTACATGGCACTAGGGATTCGAACCGCTGAACTGCTGACCTTTCAATCGTTAAGCTCAGTGTCTTAGCCACTGAGCCACCATGTCCCTGTCCTCAACATAAGACCATTCATTTACTGTTTGAAGTTACAACAACGCTGGAAAAAAGTGACTTACAACCAGTCCTTGCATTTATTACCATCATAGCATTTCCATGGTCACATGATCAACATTTGGGCACTTGGCTAACTGGCATGTATTTATGATGGTTGCAGCGTCTTGGGGTCGCCTCATCTCCATTTGCAACTTTCCCAGCTAATTCTCAACAAGAAAACTCAATGGAGGAAACCAGATTCCTTTAACAAAAGGGCGATTCACTTAAGAACCGCAGCAAAAAATGATCATAAAATTGGGCACGACTCACTTAACTGCCTCGCTTAGTGACAGAAGTTCCAGTCGGGTCTAGGCTTACTCACCGCAGTCAACTCACCATGGCCAACTTGCCGCCAACTTGCTATGAACAAACTCTGCATAGCCAATTCACCACAGCCAATTCACCGCGGGACAATTTGCCGCAGAACAAGAGTTACACGAATGTCGAAGAAATAGTGGAATATAATCATTAAAGAAAGGATGCCAAAGGAGGGACAAAATGAAATGTGAATAACAATTTAAGTACTTTTTAAATAATGAAAATGAATTGTTGAATTGTCCCATGGCAAGTTGGCCATGTTGAGTTGGCTGCAGCGAGTTGGTCCATTCCGTTCCAGTCCCAATTATGATTGTAAATCAAGGACCACCTGTACTTTTCCTCCAATGCTTGAGGTCCTTAACCTAATATGCTCCCACCCTGTAGCCTTCTTAAGCCAATAATAACAAGGGCAGCCCTGTCTCCTCTCCTACTCCATTTCATCCTAGTTCTTCACCCACCAGGAAGCTTTACCTGTTGTTAGCCAAGGAGAGCGTGACCAGATTGTGGAGTCCTTGGAGATCCTGGCTACCAACATAGGCAATCTGGTTGCCAGTTATAAAGAGGTTGCGGGTGTACCCAGGAATGCCAGCTGGGATGGAGGTCAATTCCTTCTGGACGCACTTCACTGTACGAGCTGGCTCAGAACATTCACAAGGAACAGGGCACGGATGGCAGGAAAGGGGTGCCAGAAACAACAAAAGGAGAGTCCAACCACCGTAGAGGCCCCCAGGGGTCATTTCCAATCAATGCCAATTGTAGCAATTCCTGGCTGACAAAGGAAGAAAAAGATGATCAGAATCCATAAACAGAATCTATTCCAAGACAGGGAAAGAAGAGGAATCTTTGACCTACCATTCTAATGCATTGGTCTACAATTCCCAGAACTCCCAGTCAACATCATTAACAGAGACATGTCCCAAAGTATAAAATATCAAGACAGGCCTCCAGCACTGGTATTGTAGCATATTTTTTCTGTGACCCAAGTGCAGGATGTGGGATAAATCTCTTTTAAGTTACAGGATAGCAAATTTCAGTTGAATATTTAAGAAGAATTTTGCAGTGGCAAGAACTGTTTTTTAGAGTGGAATCATTGGGGAATGGTTTGGGGAGATGGTGAACTCTTCTCTAGAGGTGTTCAGATAAAACTCTCTGTAGGAGTGCTAAAATATGAATTTCTGCCCTAAACAGGAGATTTGATTCAATGCAATGGCTTGAAGTCCCCTTAAATCATGAAATCTATGAAATTCTGTCTACCCTTCCTCTTTCTCTTCCGCAGAATAGAACCCAAAGGCTTTCCATCCCAGCCAAAACTTTATTTGGCTTCTACTAGATTACGGTACTTCATACAACTTCAGATTCCACTTTTTGGGCTTAGCATTCAAAATGCTTCAGAGATAAATACCTATTCACGCAAACATTACAAAACCTCTAACTAAACCTTCCTAAACTGTAAGGTTGAACAAGATCAAGCTGTAAAGTTATCCATTTACATCAGTCTGGAAGATGGAAGTAGTTTATCTTTTGCAATCTGGCCATCCTAGGCTCTCAGGCTATGCATGCAATTCTCACACCCAACATTTCTGGTTCAAATGAATCAGGTAGCAAATGAGAATTAAGCCATTCCTCTATAGCAGGGGTCTCCAACCCTGGCAACTTTAAGACTAGTGGACTTCAACTCCCAGAATTCTTAAAGTCTTAAAGTTGCCAAGGTTGGAGGCCCCTGCTCTATAGAGTCTCTGAAGAGCCTAGTATGGGTAAGGATAGGGCATGCCATCTTTCTCCAGTGCCAACTTTCCAGCTGTGTGGAATTTCACTGTTAACATTTTTTTACTGTCCAGTTAGTGAAATGTTGAGACTCTTGAGATGAGTGAGTGGAGTGGGAGACATTATTTTTCCTAGGTGCTTAAAAAAAGAAGACAACATTTCCTTTTCCTTAAAAATAAGTTCTGATTTGTTGCCCCTTATGACATGGGGAATATTTCATCGTAGTTGAAATGGGATGTCTGTTCTAGAAAGTTAGAACTGGATTGTCTCGTTCCCCCTTCATTCTGGGATGGGAGCTAACGGGAGGAGTCCAGGCTGGAGAAGGCAAAGTAAATGAATTTGGTAAGAAGGTTTACCTTACAATACCTGGTAAATATAGATAAAAGATAAGATTTGAACTGTAATTTTATTTTAGCCACTGAAATCCTGACCTGTTCAAATATCTGTCATAAAGCAAAGCTACTTTTTAAAAGTAACTCTGTAATAATTGCTCCACTATCAAGACAACGGGTGAGTTTGACATTCCTCATCCTGGGGTCCTTCCACTGTGCTGGACATCATCTCCTGCCAGGATGAGTAATAGATTTTTCTTGTCTAATAAGGTTTTCATTCCGCCCCCCCCACCCCACTACCTTGGCAGTTGTCATAAATACACCACAATCCAATCTTCTGACCACACCTGCTTACAGAATGAAGGGGGAATGAGACAATCTGGTTCTAACTTTCTAGAACGGACATCCCATTTCGACTACAATGGAAGAGACTCCTGAAATATTTCCCCATGTGCATTTCAACTCCCTGCAAGCCGAAAACCAACGTAAGAGAGAACGCCAGAACTTATTTCTCAGGAAAAGTCTTTTTAAAAAAAAAAAAAAAAAAAAAGCATCTATAAAAGATAACGTCCACTCATATAAAAGAAGACATTTCATTTAAAAAAAAACAAACAAACCTTCATCAATTCCAGACCACCCTTTAGCCAGAGTGGATCCTGGAGAAAATAATCATTACATTTCCATCCTATTCCATCGCCATCACTAATTCACTAATTCCCTCCACACTGTCAAACTATTCACTAAGTCTGCACTACTATTAATCTTCTCATCGTTCCCACCACCCATCTCCTTCCACTTATGACTGTATGACTGCAATTTTGTTGCTTGTATTCTTATGATTTATATTGATATTGTTTCCTGATTGCTTATTTGTACCCTATGACTACCATTAAATGTTGTACCTTAGGATTCTTGATGAACGTATTTTTTTCTTTTATGTACACTGAGAGCTTATGCACCGAAGACAAATTCCTTGTGCGTCCAATCACACTTGGCCCATAAAAAATTCTATTCTATTCTATTCCCCTCAGTGCTCAAAGGGACCCACAGACAGTAAGATACAACAAGCGTAGAAATCATTATTAAATCAAGGTAAGAAAAAGATAAGCAAGCACCCACCGGTGAAAAGCTACTGTTGCTGGGTAAATCAGATTAAAAACTGGACGCCGGTCTGAACATCAGGGACTTCTCCATCTCTCCAGGCTGAAGTTAGCTGCCTGCTCGCCCCTCGGCCCTTTTCACTGCCTCCCACCCACCCGACCAAACCTTGGGGGCCGAGCAGCCAATCAGAGGACAGGTCTGCCACCCCCCACCATCCCCCACCCCCCCTCCCTTCCCCAATACAACCCCCTCCCCAAAACGACCCCGTCTCCCCCTCTGCTTTTAAACAAACGCACCCCACTAACGGCTTCTCCAGGCGGCTAGGCAGACGCACAAATCAAAAAGCGTCATTTCTTTTCAAAAAGGGGGGGCGGGGGGGGGAAAGGAGCGAAACGCGAAACTGAGGCAAACTTCTCCCCCGGGAGAAGCTGCTTGTTTTCAGCCCCTCCCCACGGCCCCCGCCTTCCCAGCCCCGGGAAAAAAAGAGGGGGGGGGAAGAGTCCTTTCCCTTCTCCGGCAGGGATCCGCCGGGCCAGACAATGGGATGCAATGGGTTCCGAGGGGCGAAGAGGGCGGGGATGCCGGGCATTGGGGGTCCCGCCTCGTTTTCCCAGCTTCCCGAGCCCGCCCCCTTAAAGACAGACCCGCCCGTCTGGCAGAGCTCGGAAGCCCCTCCGTTCACCCCCCCCTCCCCTCTCGTTTTAATCTTTCCCTGACCCCTCCCTGAGGCTGGGGTCTTATTTGCCCCAGCAACAGCTGCAAATAAAAGAGGGGAGGGGTGATTTATGTGCTTTCTTCCTCCCATCACTTAACAGGGCAGCATCTTTTTCGCCAAGCTGCCCTCAGCTGGTACCCTCCAAAGATCTAACTAGGTCAGTGGTCACCAACTGGTGGTCCATGGACCACTGGTGGTCCGTGAGGCACTTTTGGTGGTCCGCCAAAAAATTATTTGCTTTTTTTTTATATTGCACTAAATCAGGGGGTCCTCAAACGACGGCCCTCTGGGCTGGATACGTGCAATGAATATTTGTGTTGCTGCAGAGAGTCTGCCCCTCCGGGGTCTTTTTGTGTGGGTCAGAGGGGGGCAGACTTGGGGTCGGCTTCAGCCTCCTGGTGTGGGGCTTTGGGCGAAGGCTGGAGGGAAGCACTGCTGGTGGTGAAGAGCCACAGGGCCTCGTTCCAGTGGGACTGCATCATGGCCTGGAACTGGCTGACCATCTCAGCCCGCTGAGCCTCCTGGCCTTGCACTTCTGCAGGTCTTCCCTCTGTTTGGAAAGCCTATGCTCGTAGTCCTCAGTGAGGTGCTTCTGCGGAGCCTCCTTCTTGGTCAGATCCAATTTGAAGTGAGCTCTTTTGCCAACTCTTTCTCGTGGTGGCTGCTTAGCTCCAACAACTGCTTCCTGTTGGGGCCCTAAGGAGTCCGGGCAGGCAGGTGAGGAATGGGTGGGAGGGGATGGGCGAGTAGAGGCTGGCAAGACGCCCCTTGATGTGAGTGACGTTGAGTTGGCCACGCCCACCCAGTCACATGCCCACCCAGCCGGTCATTAGGCAGTTCATATTAGTGGTCCACGGAATTTAACATTATGAATTTAGTGGTCCCTGAGGTCTGAAAGGTTGGTGAACCCTGAACTAGGTGGCTCAATGGCTAAGACACTGAGCTTGTGCATCAGAAAGGTTGGCAGTTCAGTGGTTCGAATCGCTAGTACAGGTCTCCTACATGAGACTAGATGACCTCCAAGGTCCCTTCCAACTCTGTTACTATTATTATTAAATGTGATTGCTGACAATCCTTATCATGCCCAGCTAGCATATCTGGAAAAAGGTGTCCCCCTGCTTCTGGAGGGATCCCTTGGTCACCTGGACACCTATCAATCCGGAATGGGCTGCAACTACTTTAAAGCATCCATCCCAGAGTGGAAATTAAAGTCTGGGTTGATTGATTGATTGATTTTCATTCATGCAATTAGTGAATTCAAATGTTTTTTACTACCAGTTATGTGGGTGTGGCTTGGTGGGCGTGGCAGGAGAAGGATACTGCAAAATCTCCATTCCCACCCCACTCCAGGGGGAGGATACTGCAAAATCTCCATTCTCACCCCACTCCTGGGGGAAGGATACTGCAAAATCTCCATTCCCACCTCACTCTGGGGCCAGTCAGAGGTGGTACTTGCCAGTTCTCTGAACTATTCAAAATTTCTGCTACTGGTTCTCCAGAACCTGTCAGAACCTGTTGGATTTCACCCCTGGATTAAGGCCAAATTATTGGTGGTAGGTGAATTTAAGGGCCCCATCTGGGGAAAAAAATGACCACTTCTCTTGTAGATGTGTTTCCAAACCATCAGCAACTGAGTTGCTACTTTTGCTCTGCTGTCATGTAAAACTTGGAAAGAACTACTTAAGTTCTTAGCTGTCACCATAGCTTTATTTTGCTGTAAACTTTTATAGCTAATCCTCCTTGTATTACTTTATTTTACAATGTTTTACTGTTACTTTATTGCATTTTATGGCATATCTTATTATGTTATGTTTGATGCTATATCCTGTGGATACAGCAATAAATTTATTTATTATGTCTCCAAAACAGATAAAGGACATCAAGTTGCACTTCGTATCTTTTCCCTTTTTCCAAAAACTTAGGACACTCTACCCGGGACTCACTCTTCCTCCCTCCATTTTATCCCCTTAGAATTTAGGCAAACATTTTCTCTATTAACTTCAACATAGTTCCATTTTTGAAAGGGGAGGGGGCTTCAAAAATGCATCCATTCATTCTTATCTCAGAATTACAGAATAACAGAGTTGGAAGGGACATTGGAGATCTTCTACTCCAATCCCCCTCCCCCCTGGCTCAAGTAGGTGAGCCAATATCATTCTGGACAAATAGCTATCCAATCTCTTTGAAAACCTTCAATGATGGAGCACCCACAATGTCTGGAGGCAAGCCATTCCACTGATTGATTGTTCCCACTGACAGAAAATTTCTCCTTAATTCTAGGTTGGGTGTCTCTTTGTTAAGCTTCCATCTTTTTTGTCTTGTCCTCAGGTGCTTTGGAAAATAATCCCTCTTCTCTGTGTCAGCCCCTCAAATATTGGAAGACTACTAGCAAGTCACCCCTAGTCCTTCTCTTTGTTAGACTCAACGTACTGAGTTCCCATAAACATTCTCTATACGGTTTAGCCTCCAGTTCCCTAACCATTTTTGTTGCTCTTCTCTGCACTCTTTCTAGAGACTCAACAATCTTTTTTGTATCCGTTCTATCTAATCCAGGGATGTCGAACTCAATTTCATTGAGGGCCGCATGAGAGTTTTGTTTGACCTCAGGGTGGGCGTAGCCAGGGGCTGTGGCCAGCTTGACATCACTCGTGTCAGGGCGCTTGTGGTGGCCCAAGAGCTCTGCCATCAGAAATGGACTCCCAAGTGCTGTTTTCAGCCGCAATGGCCTCCTGCAGCCCCCGCGAGCTCCATTTTTGCTGGCAGAAGGCTGCAGGAGGCCATTGCGGCTGAAAACAGAACCTGAGAGGGCTGCTCGTGGCCCTCCAGAGCTCCATTTTCGCTGGCAGAAGCACCACGGGCCAGTCCTTCGCTGTTTCCAGGGTGGTCCGGCAGGCCAGATCTAAGTACCCCGTTGGCCAAATCCAGCCTGCAGGTCTTGAATCTGCCACCCCGATCTAATCTCTACACACACACACACACACACACACACACACACACACACACACACACACAAACCTTTCTTTCTCCATGCAACAAAGAAATAATATACAGTTCTTATAAGCTAAATCATAGACATAAGCAAAGAGAGGATGTCTAAAGTTACATTTATGAGAGGGAAAATATACCTAAACTGTCCACCTGGGCCCATTTACCTTGTGACATTCTATCTTGCAAACTTTTTTTAAAAAAAAGATGCAATAGTGGAAAACACTGGTAGAGGACAAAAACATTTCATTTCCCCATTTTTAAAGACTAGTTTTGCCCGCAGCTCCCTTCCCCCAAATATTATGCAGCGTTTCACAATCAGAACCAAATCTTGGTAGCCAAGATTAGAGAGCTGGCTGGCAAGGGTGAAACATGAAGCAGGCGACTTGAGAGTTTGGAACATATTATCTGATGAGCAGATGGGAAGCTGAAGCAAGAGGATCATCAAGCAATGCAGCTTTCCTTGGATAAACAACAGCGGAAGAAGAGAGCAAGAGCAGGAATGAGGCTAATGAAGCAAGACAAGCTGTAAATCTTGGCTGAGTTAAAAACAGCATTCATTCTCATAGCAGGCAAAATGTTTAGAAAGGACCGCACTGTCCCTGAAAAGACTCACTTCCCGCACCTGTTCAGAAATACTTAAATTGAAATAAGAATGCTGGATATCATCAGCCAGATCAAAGCTTCATATTTAGGTGTCCAATTTGTGATTGGATTCACACATAATGTAAAACCACAGGGTTTGAGACTTAACACAATATTACCCTTCTCATCTTTCCTACTACCTTCCCTTATTGGTATCTTATGATTTATCACTTGTTTGTATCTCATGATTTTTATGATTGTATCTTGGGATTTATTATCTCTGATTTATCACTTCGTTGTTTGTCTCAGTTTTTACACTGAGAGCTTATGCAGCGGAGACAAATTCCTTGTGTGTCCAATCACACTTGACCAATAAGGAATATTCCAATGTATGTCTCCAGCTAGTGTGGTTTATAGCGTCATGCCTTTTGAAACTTGGCCATTGGTGGTTTTGCTCAATAAACCATGATTAAAGATACCCCAACTTCAATGCTATGGAAATCCAATGCATATATTGTGGGAGCTTTATCATTGGAAGCTTTCAAGAAGAGATTGGACTGCCATTTGTCTAGAAATGGTGTAGTTGGGTCTCCTGTTTAGGCGGGGGTGGGCTAGATGACCTACAAGGTCCCTTCCAACTCTGATAATCTGTTATAGAATTCTTTATTGGCCAAGTGTGATTGGACACACAAGGAATTTGTCTTTGGTGTATATGGTCTCGGTGTACACAAGGAGAATAGAATGCAATGCATTCATCAAGAATAAAAAGCTACAACACTTAATGATAGTCAAGGTTACTAATGCTATCAAATCATACTAGGAAACAAATAAAAACAATATAAATTGAAAGATACGAGCAACATGGTTATAGTAATAAGTGGGAAGAGATAGATACTA